AAGCAGCAAATGGGAATGTTACCTTTGAATGACAGGATACCATCCAACACCTTCACCCATTCACCTTCACCCAGGGGTTGAATAACACCTGAGGTTTCAACCCATTTCATTATGTCTTAAATTGGGAAACATTACTGATTGATTATCTCTTAAATTGGGAAACATTGATTGATTTCTCCTGGTGGAAGTTTCCCCAAAACTGATGTCATGTATCATGGGATGTGTCATACCTTTGCTGTACTTGTTGCTGGGAAAAATTCAATAAAGCAAGGTTGGTGTTTCTGAAGTTCCTGTGTTAAACATCACAGTCTTTCAGCCCAGAGTTTGCTTGCCATTCACTGCAGAAAGGGATTTGAACTGAGGTTGTGTGGTTGTCTGGAACTGAGTAGCTTAAGACTCCCCCGTGATGAACTCAATTTCAACAGGCAGTGTAGCCAGAAAATGTAAAAAATAATTGTTGCTGTTGGCATCCATCTGTCTTGAAAGACAATGAAGTGCACTTCTGGGGGTGAAGTAAAACCACTGCATTATCAGCACAGAACTGACCTCTCTGTGGCACAAACCTGGGCAATGTGTATGGAGGTCCTGGGCTGCCCAGATGGGAAGACCCATGCCCTCGGCTTCGCTGATGTCGTCCAAAGGGAAGCATACAGAGCACCATCCAAATGTCTTAGCGACTTGACTCAGGATTTGTGCAGTCTTTACTCCTTAGCCTTTTCTTCTCCCAAAGATGTCCTGCAACTCAGCGGGTAACTGTAAGTGTTGCCATACTAAAATATTGAGTTCTGCAGAAAGGGTCTTAATAGGCACCAGTAATAGCAGCAATAGAGCTGCATTCAGCCCATTCGGCAGAGAAAAAGGTTTGAACTACTTATAACATCCACAGATGTGATCCAAAGGACTCCAACTCCCATCATCCTCAACCACTGGCCATCCTGGCCTGGGCTGATGAGAGTTGGAATCTATGGGAATCTCAAAGCACCAGGTTGGGTAAGTTCTTCCTAATGCTGATTATTATCCTGCCATTTGTGTGACTAAAATGTACCCCATCTGACAAAGGCAAGACTCCTGATCTTTACTCTACCTGCTTTTGCCTGTGGCTATACCCATTACTCAAAGATGGTCCCTGGAGGGCTGCTCATGGAGAGATGTGGTTCTCTGCCTGGAAAATGGACCCCATCCCTGTTCTAAGCACCACATTATAAACAAGCTCTCACGCCAGCTCAAATTAAAAGGGTAGCTGTGAGCGTTGCTCAGGTGGTGTTCTTTGGAGAGAGACAAAAACCCCATGACATTACGAGGCTCTTTTGCCAATGCTGGTTTCCAAGGCAAGTGATGGGCCCAGCAGCACCAGTAGAGAAAAACCCCTAGCACTCCTCAAACTGGGGCAATCCTGCTAGGGAAGCCAGATACCCACTGGCTTTCTCACCAGCAAACTCTCAAGAGGACGTCTGTAGAAGACCTTTGCATGGCAAGCCATGCCCCCTTATGTGAAAAGAGACTCTAAGGAAAAACTTTCTGAGAGTAAGAGCTGTTTAACAGTGGAACAGAGACCTTGAGAAGGTATTGGACTCTCCTTCCTTGGAGGTTTTTAAGCAGAGGTTGGATGACCATCTGTCATGGATGCTTTAGCTGAGATTCCTGCATTGCAAGGGGTTGGAGCAGATGATCCTTGGATCCCTTCCAACTCTACAATCCTGTGATTCTATACAATAACAATAATGAAGATTATAATAGGCACTAATGATGATAACAAAGACATTCTCTCTCTCTCTCTCTCTCTCTCTCTCTCTCACACACACACACACACACACACACACACATATATATATATATATATATATATATATATATATATATATATTTGCAACCAGCAGAATTAAAATGCAAAAGTTATTCTATGCTGTAACATGGCAAGCTGCCATGGGGTGGAGAAAGCTGCACGTCTGAATGGACAAACCACTGCGAAAAAAGGTACAGGTAAAGGTACCCCTGACTGTTAGGTCCAGTCGCGGACGACTCTGGGGTTAGCGCTCATCTCACTCAATAGGCTGGCGACAAAACCTACAAACAAACAAAAGGCTGGACACAGAATAACAGCATAACAAGGAGAAGGGTTAGTTTCTCAAGTTCCAATGAGCCCTCTGCACAAGCTTGTCCTGTGGAAAAGTTGCAAAGATCTGTCTGTTTACAATGGAATAAAGCATGCCAACAAACGCAAATTCACACACACAAATGAATTTTTCACTAACCTATTGCAGCTCCTTAGTGAAGCAAATGCACTCAGACATATATACATTTGTATCCCACCTTTCCCAGTTCAAACCATGATGTTTGGCTTACCACATGAAGAATTAGTTGTAATGACAACATAATAAAAATAATCATAAGCAATAAACAAAACACCCAAAAGTGAATAACCAAATTGTACGATTTCCATATAAATCGCAATAAGAGCTTTTTACAAAATTAATACATTGGTACCTTGGTTCTCAAACCTAATCCGTTCTGGAAGTCCATTTCAAAACCAAAGCCTTCCAAAACCAAGGCACACTTTCCCATAGAAAGTAATGCAAAACAGATGAATCAGTACCAGACTTTAAAAACAACCCCTAAAATAGCAGTTTAAAATGAATTTTACTATCTAACGAGACCACTGATCCATCAAATGAAAGCAACAATCAATGTAAGGTAAAGGTAAAGGAACCCCTGACCATTAGGTCCAGTTGTAGCCGACTCTGGGGTTGCAGTGCTCATCTCACTTTATTGGCCGAGGGAGCCGGCATACAGCTTCCGGGTCATGTGGCCAGAATGACTAAGCTGTTTCTGGCGAACCAGAGCAGTGCACGGAAACGCCGTTTACCTTCCCGCTGGAGCGGTATCTACTTGCACTTTGATGTGCTTTTGAACTGCTAGGTTGGCAGGAGCTCACCCCGTCGCGGGGATCCGAACCGCCAACCTTTTGATTGGCAAGTCCTAGGCTCTGTGGTTTAACCCACAGCGCTACCTGCGTCCCTCAGTGGTAATTCCAGAAGTACAGTTCTTCACACATTTCAGGCTAGCTGCCCACAAAACATTAGAGGAGATGAAGTGATTCATTTTTGACATACCCGAAATCTGGAAATGCGGCTTTTATAAAAATGTTACCCTGCAAAGGACGTATGGAGATACACTGGTTCTTTTAGCCAAATAAACACTTACAAGCATTGTGGAAAGAGATAAGATTTATTGCAGTCAGCAGAAAGCATAAAACAGTCCCAAGGAATTATTTGCAGATTGTGGAGCCAGGGTATAGGTTACAAAGACAATTTATAGCACTTTCCCATACATGATTCCCTTGCGCCTGACCCTTTCCAAGGCTCTGATTTGACTAATGTCTGCTTTTACCCCAATAGATAGGGATCTTGGGCTACTATCATTCCCTCTAATTCTGATTCTGAGGCTCTCGGTGTCATTCATTATGTAGCCGCATGTTATTTTATATATATATATATATAATCACTTGATTGTAAACAAAACAAAACAAAAACCCTTCAGGGCCACACTCAAGAGGGATGTATAGCAGGGATGAGGGGAAAATTTGCAGGAGAAGAAGAAATAAATCCTAAAGGTGGAAATGTTCCAAAGTAAATTCTGGGTACTCGATGGCAATGGATGGAAACTTGAAGGGGGGGAGGGAGATAAATGAAATTGTGTACCCAATCATCAGCATTCAATACTATTGTTTTGTTGCGGATTCTACTTGTTTAAATAATTTTTCAAAAAAACAGGAGCCAACTCCCTTGGCCCCCTCAGTAAAATATTTGAAGGGGCTGCCCCTCCCACAAAAAGGTTGATGGGCATTGCCATTCAAATGGTGTGCATGCACCACATCTTGTGATTGATCAATGCAAAATGTGGTTCTCCAGTTGTACAGCTAGGGAGAGGAAGGTGCTCCAGAAGGTCATAACCACAGCCCAAAGGATTATTGGTCATCCTCTCCCATCTTTGGAAGAACTGTACGGTTCCCGTTGTCTTAGGAAAGCAAATAACATCCTGCAGGATTCATCTCACCCGGGACACAGTCTGTTTGCACTACTGCCTTCTGGCAGGAGATATAGAAACATCAAGTCAAAGACAAATAGACTGAAAAACAGTTTCTATCCAAGAGCTGTGGCCTTTTTGAATGCTGTAACTCGATAGTGTGACCTGGGAGTTTGATGGGTGTTGGTGTGGGTGTGGCTGGAATGTGGTTTGTTTGGTTGTTGTTGTTGTTGTTTTGCTTTTGTTGTTTTAAGGGATGGCATCCAATTTCGTTGCACTTTGTGCAATGTTGCACTTGTGTAATGACAATAAAGAATCTATTCTATTCTATTCTATTCTATTCTATTCTATTCTATTCTATTCTATTCTATTCTATTCCAGTTGGCACGCCTGCTCAATATGAAGTTCTGCTAAGAAATACATTGTACATTTTCTTCTTAATAAGCAATGAGTGCTTTAAGAATTGTTCTTTGAAGCAAAGATGGCAGGAGACCCTGGAAAGAGACAATCTACTGCATTTCACACACATCCAGTGTTTTGTACATGCCTGAGAAAATGCTGACACACACACATACACAACCACACACTTTTAAACTTCAATTACCTCAATGGTCCCAACTCCATTCTCCACAAAATTCTTTTGAAAGTCCCTGCTGATTCAAAACTGGTTTGCCTTACAATACAGGGCCCCCCTTTGAGGACATGGAAGGGAGACAGACCTCATAGGTCCTTATACAATATTCAAACTGCTTTGACATATGCGTTCTCTTCCACTTGACTCAAGAATGCATTCTTCCCTCCTTCTACTTTCTCTTTCAAATAGGAAATTCTAGGATGACATCTTTTAAAATTTCACCCCATAACATGGCTATGGAAAACTATTAGTAGACTCCAGTCACATGGCTATTCAGAAAGCAGGAAAAGTCTGAGGCACTCTTACAGCTGACTAAATACTCCTGGGAAGAACTACTTGTACATTACCTACTTTTACACAAGAATGGAAGAAAATGCAGTGGTTTTTTCCACCGCCCCATAGCCTCCTTCATTTCTCTGTTTCTTAGTGTATATATGATAGGATTCAGTGCAGGGGTGACAATGGTGAAGAATAAGGAAGCCATTTTGTCCACACTGGAGCTGGAGAAGGGTACAAGATATACAAAGAGGCAGGGCACAAAAATGAGGCTGACTACAGTCAAGTGAGAGCTACAGGTAGACAGAGCCTTCCATCCACTCTCCTTGAAGTGGCCTCGAAGGGTGGCCAGAATGACACCATATGAAAGTAGTAAAATAAGGAAGCAAACCAGGGAGAGGAGGCCACTATTAGCCGCCATGAGTATTTCTGTGATGTAGGTATTGGCACACGCCAGTCTCACCACCTGTGGAACATCACAGTAAAAATTGTCAAGTTCATTTGGTCCACAGAATGGGAGTTGGACAACCAGGATAAACTGAGTGGCAGAGTGGATGATGCCTCCAGCCAAACAGAGTAAGAGGAGCCTAGTGCAACGTGGACGGTTCATTCTGGTGGTGTATGTCAGTGGGTGGCAGATGGCCACATAGCGATCATAGGCCATGAGGGTGAGGAGGAACATCTCACTGCCCCCAGAGAAGTGAAGGAAGAAGATCTGTGTCATACAGCCACCAAATGAGATCGTCTGGCCAGAACTGGCCAGGTCTGCTACCATCTTGGGGACAACCACGGAACCCACAGAAATATCAAGAATGGATAAACAAGCCAGGAAGAAGTACATGGGGGACTGGAGGAGGCGGGGCTCCGCATGTACAGTCACCACAATGAGGAGGTTGCCCAATAGGATTACAGTGTAACAGGCGAAAACCAGGACAAAGAGAAATATCTGGATGGAACGGGAATTGGAGAGACCCAGGAAGACAAACTCAGTGACACAGGAGATGTTCATGGGGATGGATGGACCTGAATAGGAGAGAGATACAATGGGTGTTACCATGAACAATTTTCATCAACCTATTCTACTATTCAAAGACAATACAGAAAAACCAACTATTGTGATATTTTCATATGTCAGCTACTACTGCTGCTGCTGCTGCTACTACTACAACACTAGTAATTGCAACCTTAGATAATATTCAGTTAAGTTATATCATCTTTTAAACTTTTTAATATGATATTGACTTTATATTTTAGAAGCATACATTGTGATGTTCCAATTATAATCATTGTCAATTATTTGAATATTTTTCTGTTGTTTGATGTAGTTCTAAATCATTCTAAATATAAAATATTAGGAATGTAAGAAGATCCTGAGGACTTTAATTCTTTTTTAAAAATATTTTTTTACCCATCAAGTGATAGAAAGAGAGAGAGAGAGAGAGAGAGAGTTACATATATGCAAATGTACATCTTTATAATATCCATTCATTATTCATAATTCTCTTTTCTCACCAATAATAAAATATTTGTGAACTGTGGAGGAGCGATCTCCCTTTAATTAAAAAACAACAGAAATTGTATTGATGCATTATTTGCCAAATCATTTTTATTGATCTTCCAAATTTTACTAACTCAGCCACAAAGACAAAATGAATACAATTTTCCCAAAAAAATGGTTTCCCACACTCCGTTCTTGATGTGTCCAAGTTTTCCTTTTGTTAATTAAAAAAAAAGCTTTTTTAAAAAAGGAGATCTCTTAATCTTCATAAGAGATCATATATTTAATATATCCAAGCAATATTATTAGCAGGACATGTTATCACACTGTACAAAAGCAGTATTAAATCAACTGCTTATTTTTGTTTACATAATTATCTTTGTTTAATCTTTCAGTGGTTCGTTAGAATAGAACCGAGAGTACCAACTTAACTATCCAGTGGATTCTCAAACTTTCACAAGATATGAATTGGATTATGGAACATAATTAAAGATTCAGTCAGAAATATTCATTCAAATCTTTTGTGCCAAACTAGTAATAAGGAAACTATTACCCCACCTCACCCCAAGAAACAGATGCATTCCTCAGTGCATTGCGGATATTCTGGAGAGAAAGAAAGATGCAGATATCTGTATGATTCAATTTTTCCAGAGGCTGACTCTTCCACATAGTCTATTAGCAGATCGGTTTGTATTTGCCACAATTTGCTTTAAATTTAAAAAGCAAAGGTGTAGACAATGCATGAATGTCTTAACAGTGCTTAGCATCTGTCTGTCTCCAGAAAGAATGGAGTGTGCCTCTGGGGGTGAAGTCAAGCCACTGAGTTAGCAGCACTGATGTGACCTGGGCAGTGTGTATGGAGGTCCTGGGCAATCTTTGCCATCTCTATGCAAGAGTAAGTCTCATTGGGTAGATTCAGGTAGGTAGCCGTGTTGGTCTGATACAGTCGAAATATATATTTAAAAAATTTAAAAATTGTCCAGTAGCACCTTAGAGATCAACTAAGTTTGTTCTTCGTACAGTGGTACCTCGGGTTAAGTACTTAATTCGTTCCGGAGGTCCATTCTTAGCCTGAAACTGTTCTTACCCTGAAGCACCACTTTAGCTAATGGGGCCTCCCCCTGCCACCGCACCGCCGGAGCACGATTTCTGTTCTCATCCTGAAGCAAAGTTCTTAACCTGAAGCACTATTTCTGGGTTAGCGGAGTCTGTAACCTGAAGCGTATGTAACCCAAGGTACCACTGTATAAGCTTTCGTGTGCATGCACACTTCTTCAGAATATTAGGTAGTACTCATTCGGACGACAAACATACTTAGCAGTATAGAAACCACTACATACCAAGCCAGACCATTGGCCCGTCCAGGCCAGCATTATCAATACTAACAGGCAGTGACTCACCCAGGCTCCAGGTAGGATTTATTTTCCCCAGCCCCACTTTGAGATGCTGGGGGACAGCACCTTAAACCTTTTCTTATGCAAAGGATGTTTAAAGCATGGACCATAGCACAGTGTTAGAGGATCTGTTTTGTATGCAGAAGCTCCATATTCAATCCCTGGCTTCTCGAAGTAGGGCTAGCAAAGAAACCTGGTCTGAAACCCTGCAGAGATACAGCCTGTCCATGTAGACAATACTGAGCTGGATGGAACAAGAGACTGACTTGGTAAAAGGCAGCTTCCTATGTACCATTAAGTTACAGCCCCTCCCAACTATAAATCCATTTCAGTGTAACTAACAATGCAACTAGGAACACTTTCCCATATTATCAGATTGAGAGGAATAGGCTCCCACAACAACAACAACTAGAACCAGAGATGCAATGACACCGTCAAAGCAATTAAGCATGGTTGGGACATGGAATATACTCAGATCCAAATGATTTCACCCCCTTTTTAGTATCTATGCTGCCTTCACTCAATATCTTCTTCTCATTAAAAGCAAGACATATATCAATGACTTAGTGTCTCTGCAATAATGAGCCCACCTCATATTTAGCAACTTGAGAAAAACCTGGATTTCCATGACACCTATCTCTGATGTCTACTTACCATTCGTGGATTCAACACTCTGCTCTGTTTCTCGCATACCTTATTTTCAACCAGCATTGATCTGTCTTAATATATCCCCTGGGGTCACTGTTCTCCCAAGATGGCACTGCAAGGATAAAGAAAGATTCAGGGGGAAAGTGTTAAGCACAAAAGGAAAGAGATGGAAAAGTGATAAAGAAATTTGGAAAGTCTTCTCAGATCTCTGTGTAACAAGAGCACCACCAGGGCTTAAGAGTAAGCATTGAAGAACTCACAACAGCATCAAGTAGGAAAGGTTTAGATAGAACTCAGAAATCCTGATGCCCAGCTTTTCCTTTCACTCTTAAGTACAAACATAAGACCACTTATGCTTAGACCCAATGTGCATCTAGCCCACCAATAGGCTCAAAATCTCTCAAGCACAGCATCATGGGTTTCTCATCTTTCTCTACACCTACCATCACTTCAGGAAACCCTATTCTCTTTCAAGAGCTCATGGTGAGAGATTAGCAGTGCTGTCCATGCTATTGGCTCAGTCTATTTCTCATCCAAGGTTAGTGGTTCTTTGGAAAAACATCAGTAGCCATAAATACATTACTTTGCTCTGCTTCCAATTCCAGAAGATCCAGCAGGATCTGGCAAGGGAACGAGTCCTTCTCCTTCTCTCAATGGTGAGCCAAGAATATATCTAAGATATTTCAGCAACCCATGATTGCATCCTGGGGGGAAAGGGGTCACAAAGGCAAATCCCAGTATCCTGATTAATATACTTTTGCCAAAAGAGATAATTGTTGATTCATAGATGCTGCGCCAGGAGCCAGAACTCTCATCCCTTTTGTCTCCTGCATGAGAAAGAAAATGTACATATGTGCTCAAAATCCAGAAAGTCCAGTTAATATGATTGTAACAATGGTACAACCACAAAGTCACAGCCATCACACTGTTGCATACCACCCCAATCTCCAAGATACTAGGGGTTCCAGGTGTCTATTCAGGGATCAGTTTTCTTGGAATAAGTTACAGCAGAGAGCACAGACTTTGTGTTATATATGATTTATTTACCCATATATACAACCTGAGCCTACAATGGAGGTGCTCACCACCTCAAAGGTCTTGCTTCTTCCCTCGTCACAACCTTGGATTCAAGCAGAAATCAAAAATAGTAGCTCATGATAATAATAATTATATTTATAATATTTATAACCTGCCCACTCCTGGTGGCTCCCAACAGAATATTAAACAGAATAAAACATCAAACATTGAACATTAAAACAGGGGTCCCTTCAGATGTCTTCTAAAAGTCAGATAGCTATTTATTTCCTTGACATCTAATTGGAGGGCATTCCACATGGTGGGCACCACCACCATGAAGGCCCTCAGTCAGTAGACCATTAGACTTAAACCCAGGGTTGTGGGTTGAAGCCCCATGTTGAGAAAAGATTCCTGCTTTGCAGGGGGTTGGACTAGGTTACCTTTGTAGTCCTTTCAAACCCTACAATTCTATGGCTCTGTCTCTCCAGTTGCTGCCTACTTCTAAACCAACTGTCTCACAGCACTCTGGCATCTTGTTTCTCATTAGCAGTCAGGTGAGGGAGGGGGACCCACCCAGTTGCCCTCTAGCATGGAGCAGCTTCTTTTATTATACTAATGACCCGTACTTGGGGCCCTTGCCTGTCTAATTCAATAAGAAGATCCTTCATTAGATTTTAACACTGGATCCAGGGATTAGATCCAGGAATTAGAAGGCACTCGGGCATCATATAGCCTAACCTGCTTCCCCTTGCCTACAAAACTTACAACTGTATTTTACTTGGAATTATAGGAAGAATATCAGTGCTTTTCTGTTATTCTGGGTGTCTTGGGGTCTGTTTTAGAATTATGAGTCCAACTCCAATCCCATCCCAAGGAGTGCACTAAGGTATACCCATCCAAGTTGTAAACGGAAAACTTTTTAATGTTTAGGGGGCCTATTTTCTGACCAGATTTCTCTGCCAGGCATGCCCCTCATTTACAATCATTACTGCCCTTTGTACAAGGGCACAAGGAGAAGGGGACGACAGAGGATGAGATGGTTGGACAGTGTTCTTGAAGCTACCAACATGAGTTTGACCAAACTGCAGGAGGCAGTGGAAGACAGAAGTGTCTGGCGTGCTCTGGTCCATGGGGTCACGAAGAGTCAGACATGACTAAATGACTAAACAACCACCACCACCACAACAACAAGGGTGTGAAACTGTGGGAAATGAGGTGAATGTTGGAAGATGGTCTCTCCATGGCAAGTTAGCCAATGGTCCCTTATCTCAATCCTAGCATTGACTAGTTGGGGTAATATGCAGATTTGGGGACCCAGATGTCAAGAGGCAGTCATGGAAGTTAACAAAGTGTGCATTAATAATAATTGGATGGGTATTCAATAATGCAGGTGTCCCCAAATCTGTAATCCAATCACATGGTGTCATTATCAATGTGAGACAGCATACCAATGGATGCCCATAGCCCTATCTCCATCCACATATTCAGCGCCAATGAGCT